AACTCAGAGACCGGTGCCGGCATGGGTCCTCAGTATGCTGAGCGCCGGTCCCCTGGGCCCACTTTTTCTCTATACTTTGTCTCTGTGTCTCATTTCTTTTCTCAGGTCTCTCGTTCCACCTAACGAGAAACGCCCACAGGTGTGGAGGGGCAGGCCACCCTTCACACCCCACTCCGCAGTCACATGTGGCCTGTGATAGGAGGTCACAAAGCCTTGCAGGGAGTTTGTTTAGGCAGCCCTCGATGTCTCAGAGCAGGCTCCATCCACATCCACCCCTGGCTTGCCGGGACCCGGCCACAGTTTGGTCTAAGTGGCCTGGGATGTGGTTGGGGCTGGTGTGGCCTGTTGGGGATTGGGTGGAGGGTGGCGGGGATGGTGTTCGATTTGGGGAGGCCCAGCTGTGACTCCTAGCAAGGGCGACGGCGAGCTCTTCATAGGAAGTGTCGACGCTTCTGCAGGCTGAGGGGTCTGGCGACCTGGATGCAGATTCCAGATGATCAGGCCAGATAGCCGGCCATGTGTCTGCCCCAAGGTACTCTCTAGCAGCCCTGACTCTGGCAGAGTAGATCTGCCTAGGATGGGAGTTTAACCTTCATATTCGTTTGTTTTCACACTAGTATAAAGAACTGCTTGAGATTGGGTAATTCATACATTAAAGAGATTTAATTGACTCACATGGCTGGGAAGGTGTCAGGAAACTTAAAATCATGGCAGAAGTTGAAGGGGAAACAGGCACCTTTTCCACAAAGCGGCTGGAAGGAGAATGAATGAAGGATGAACTACCCAACGCTCTTAAAACCATCAGATCTCTAGAAAACTCACTCTGAGGAGAACAGCATGGGGAACCACCCCATGACCCAGCTCCCTCCACCTTGTCTCTCGGGTGACATATGGGGGTTATGAGCATAACGAGGATTATAAGTGAAGACGAGATTTAGGTGGGAACACAAAGTGTAACCATAGCACCTTCTTTGGAGCTCATCTGTTTTTGGATGTTTGTGTACCTGTGTTTTGGGAAAAATAATAAATGGAGACTAAAATCAATAACCCCTCCGTACCCATTACCAGCATCCACAATGCTCACCTTCTGCCACTTTCTCATCTATGCCCCCATCTGAGATTAGATGATAGCTCATCGTCTTTTAGATTTTTAGGTAAAACTTACGTTAATAGGGGCAAATCCCATCTGTCCAGTTTTGAAAATGTAAAACCACCTTGTGAAAAATTATGTTGTTAGCAGCGGAATGTATCTGAGTCACAGGGCATGAAAATGTTAGTGGTGGCAAATCCATGTGGCTCTGCAGCAACCTCAGTTCTTGCCCCCTCAGAAGAAAGAATTCGATTGAGGGGCATAAGGCAGAAGGAGAGACCAAGGCGAGCAGCAGGAGTGGAAGCTCTGGAGCAGGAACGAAAGGAAGGAACCGCACTGGAAAGAGGGCCAAGTGGGCAACTTGAGACATGAAGTAAGCAGCTGGATCTTCGACGTGGGTTTTATGTGGTGGCTTCTGCGTCTTCCGCCCCTTCTCCGCATTCTTCTCTTGGCGCGGGCTATCTGCAAACACGGTGGTCTGCCAGCACTTGGGAGTGGCTGCATGCAGGGTGTTTGCTGGAGCTCTGCGCATGCTCACTTGGGGCCTTCTTCCCCTACCAGCTGAGAGCTCGTGGGAGGTCATGCGCCAGTTAAACCAGCCGTTTGACCTCCTCATGCGCATGCTGGAGCCACTCACCCAACTCCTGAGGTCTTACTGGGAAGCTGCTGACCACGTTTCGGGTTTTTTCTATCTACTGGGAGACTGCCTTTCCTTGGCGCTGGTCGCTACCAATTATTATTTTAGAGAAACGGTGTAACAACCATCTGACCATCACCTGAGGGGTCGCCTGACATTCCTGGTTGGGGGTGGGAAGCGCTCTCCTGTCCTGCTGAAGCCTCAGGAGCTACCTGCTGTAACAGTATCAGTGAGAAGAATTATTGAAACTGTGAACTGAGCTAACCCACCCCCCATCTTGACTTTCCCTTAATTATTCCTGGTTTTTGTGGCCAAACTGACTTTGAGAGACATATAGGCTATTGTTTCAATGACAATAGGCCTTGTCCAAAACTCAGCGGCTCGTCATGATTGGGGACTAAACTCTGATGATTTTTTATCTTGCCCAAATTCCTATCTAAGGGGCTTGGGAAGCCATGCCCTACAAACCATAAATTCTCATCTGATGGGTTTTATTTTACCATGTATATCATGACTTACTTTCCAACCTGACCCTGGCATAACGTTACGATACAAGGAAGAAAATAAAAAAAAATTTACCCCAAAACATATTTCTTTGCCATATTTTGAAATGGCCCTGCAAAGCTGTTCTTTGTGGGGGGAAATTTGCATCTGTAAAGAATCTCTATTGGCCGGGCGCGGTGGCTCACGCCTGTAATCCCAGCACTTTGGGAGGCCGAGAAGGGCGGATCACGAGGTCAGGAGATCGAGACCATCCTGGCTAACATGGTGAAACCCTGTCTCTACTAAAAAATACAGAAAACTAGCCGGGCGAGGTGGCGGGCGCCTATGGCCCCAGCTACTGGGGAGGCTGAGGCAGGAGAATGGCTTGAACCCAGGAGGCGGAGCTTGCAGTGAGCTGAGATCCTGCCACTGCACTCCAGCCTGGGCGACAGAGCGAGACTCCGTCTCAAAAAAAAGAAAAAAAAAAAAGAGAATCTCTATTAACATAGCTAAATCTTTTTCTTCCAGACCCTCCCAGTCCTGAGGAGATTAACAGTTGAGCACCTTTTAAAGATCTGAATAGGGAACATTTGTCATCTATTGTCTCCTAAGGACAGCCACTATAAAACTTCAAAAGAACTTCAGTCTCCACAATCTTTATTTTAACCTGTACACCCCCTTTCTACCAATCCCAGGTCTTTAGACAAACTCAGTGACTCAATCATCAACGAGACGATTAAATTCACCTGCAGGCTGCTGCGCTGCCGCCGCCCCCACCCCACACCCCCCAGCTTTGTGTTGTCCTGCCTTTCTGGACCAAACCAATGTATTTATTTTTTTTTTCAATGTATTTCTTAAATGTATTTGATTGATGCCTCATGTATCCCTAAAATGTGTAAAACTAAGCTGGGCCCCGACCACCTTGGGCCTATGTTCTCAGGATTTCCTGAGGGCGGCATCACTAGCCATATTTAGCTCAGAATAAATCTCTTCAACTATTTCACAGAGTTCGACTCTTTTCATCGTCGTAATTTAGCGCTTAAGATTGGCCTTTTGAGATTCCCCCCCCCTTTTTTTTTTGCCTGCCTGACACCCATGGCTCCCCCTGGACCTGACAGCTCCTGTGGTCCCACCCGGGAGGGGCGACTCAGCTCAAGAGGACAGAAAGGGTCTATGAAACCCTTTTTTTTTTTTTTTCCCCCCCCCGCAGAGTGCTCTGCCGCCCAGGCTCGGGTAGGGTGCGGTGGCGCGATCTCGGCTCACTGCAGCCTCCGCCTCCCAAACCCCTTCTTTACTGAAGGCCCCTCCAGCGATTGCAAATGGATGCCCGCCGCACACACCGCCCCGCCGCACCCAGAGTCCGCCGGTCGCTTCCCCTCTCAATCTCCGCCCTCTGGGAGGCAAACCTGTCCACGCCGGGGTCAGCCTGGCCGGTCCCACGGCATCCCGTGTGGGGCAGGTGTGTCCTCCGGCGCCTGCCGCCTGGGCTCGGCGTCCGCCCCGTCCCTCCCAGGAGGGTTTCTCCCGCTGTGGACGCGCCCCGTGTGGCCGCCTTCTCCCGACACAGAGCACCTGCGCCGTGCCTGGTCTTGCCCTTCTCCAGAGCTGGCGGCCCGAGTCTCCCCTGCAGAGGAGGAGAGGCCCAAGGCCGCTGGGGCCTGGCAGGTGATGCCGTCCACGGGGACCCGAGTCCGCTCCCGCGAGTGCTGTTTGGGAAACTTCTCGGCTCGGGCCTCTCACCTCCCCGCGGTCCGCGCACACCCGACGCCCGCGGGGACCGGGATCTGGCCGCGCTGCTGGGCCGTGGCGAGCTGGCGTTCGGCACCCAGGACCCACGACGCGCGCTGCGTCTCCGCCTTCGTGATGCCTCAGACTTCCCGTCACATCTCAAGACTGCGGGATCCCGGGGCCCTTGCGGGTGCACCAGAGGGGTCTCCCCCGGCAGGACCCTCTTCCCGAGCTCCCGCGGGGCTCCTGGTCGAAGCTGCCCTCCCGGGCCCTCGCGAGCGCTGCCCGCCTGGGGGAAGTCCCCGCACCGGCGCACCCCGCACCTGGGCCTGGGCACCTGGCTGCGCCGCCCCCCGGGCCCGGCTGCTGCTCCCGCCGGCCTCCCTGCCTCGGAGCGAGCGAGTGCCTTTCCCTGACCCGGCGGCGCCGGGCCCTCCCCTCAATGCCCAGGACCTCCGAGCCGGCCTCGCTCCCTGGTCACGCTGGCAAAAGTGGAACCCTCGGCGAGAGGGCGCGCCCTGATGCGCGTCCATGGCCCCCCTCCCGGGGACCCCCACAGTTAGGGCGCCGCAGGTGAGCGGCGGGGGACGTGGGGGACAGTTAGGGCGGTCGGTCCCCAGCTAGGTCCCGGGAGAGCCCTGCAGTTCCGCCGGCTGAGGCAGAAGGCAGGCGGGGCTTGTCATCGCGGTCCCACTGCTGGCAGGCTGAGAGCCAGAATCCCCCAAGGGGCAAGGCACCTGTGGGAGGACCCCCGCCGCCACAGTGAGGCCCTGCTTTGGCCCCAGGAACTCCTCTACCCAGGAGGCCCAGCCAGTTTTGGGTTCAGACTTCAGAGTTTCCGTCCGACTTGGTGCAGAAGTCACTGGGTCTGACTGGCTTCCGCAGTCAGCCCACAGTGGGGGGGGCTTCGCGCCACCCTCGGGCCACTGGCTGCCCCCACCCCAGGGGAGCAGGGAAGACCCCGGCTGGACTGGAGGAGGCAGGTGCCTGGACCCAGCACACCTGGATCACCCAGGAGGGGCTGCAGCCCTGAGGCTCCTTCAGCTGCTACCCTGCCCCTCCCACAGGGCCTAAGCCGCACACCAAGCCCCTGCCCCTCTCACAGGGTCTAAGCCGCACACATCTGCAAGACGAGCTGCTCCAGCCAGCTCAGAGGCAGGCAAGGTTGTCCTGGCCCAAAGGTATTCTGGACACAGTGTGTCCTTACCTTGGTGTCAGAGAAACACCCACCCCACAGTCCTGGTCCAGCTGCTGCCCATGGCAGGAGGCCGAAACCAGCAAATTCTGAGCACATCCCTGCTTAACGCGAGAGCTTCACAGAGGAGGGATGCGACTGTGCAGGGGCTGACACTGGGCTGTCTCAGGACTAGGCTGGGACCGTGCAGCAGGGCCCCCATGCCAGGTGAAGTCACAGCATCATCACAAGCATGTGCACTTTATTGAATGTCATTGTGGACAGGTGTGTGGGGATAAAATGCTGTATCTAGGGGCAGGACCAAGGGGACAGGGACAACAGCCCCAGCGTGAGGGCCAGCATTGCAAAGTGGAGTACAAGGGTGGCGGGCTATGGGCAGCTACTAGTAACGCTGTTTTTCCTGTACGATCTGTAACATAACATGGTAGATTGCCACAGAGCCAAACACCAGTAACAGGATGAATCCGATGGTCATGAGGATGCCCACAATCAGGGCCGAGATGTTCAGGCACTTGGCGGTGGAGGCATAGGCCTGAGCCCCGGTCACGTCGCCAACCATCTTCCTGTCCCTAGACTGGGGGAGAGGACACAGCTGAGGGCTCTGAGAGCCATGTGCTATGGCTCCAGCTTCCCCCTGGCTCTTTCCTGCCCTGAGATCAGGGACCACCTCCTCCCCTTCCTCACCCAGGCTCAGACTCTCCAGGTGCCTCGGGGCTCATCCTCCCTCTGGCTTGACCCCAGCACAGGCTGTTCTCCCCACCATGGGGTGAAGTCACCTGTGAGTTCCCTTCTCACTTTCTGGGAGAGCCTTGGTGCCAGTCTGAACGGCATCCAGGTAGGGAGAATTGCTGTGGGCTAGTGGATCGCTAGGGACAAACTCTGAGCCAGCCAGCCTGCTCTAGGAGGAGGTCCTGGAGCCTCCTCCTAGACCTGCACTGGGCGGATTCCCCAAGCCACACACACACAGATCACACAGACAAAGCTACTGACGTGGGCACACACGGGACACAGGTGCACACAAACTCACACTCACAGGGACACACGAGTCCCCACCCCAGGCAGCATCTGGGCAGGTGGAGCCCCAGGCTCACTGACACCCTCTGAGCATCCCCTGGGGCCACACGCACCTTCACAGAGTAGGCGAATGCTATGAAGCCCAGGCAGCACCAGTTCAAGAAGATGGTGTTGAACAGGGACCAGACGATATGGTCGGGCACGGAGGTCTCGCTTTGGATATTGATCATGGTGGACCTTGGGAGGATGGTGCTATGGGGTGCCCCCAGCACAGACACTTCGTGCTCCTCCTTGTGCATTTTCTGGCTTTGGGGAAAGAAGTGTTGAGTGAAGGTTCGAGAAGTGTGGTTTTCAGCGTGGAGGGAAGCAGAGCTGTGGTGTCCGGATGCAGTGAGCCCTCCTTTCCCCTGTTCTTTCAGTTTCTCAGAAGTGTGTATTTCTCTTAAGTTTCTATTTCCTGTTGTTTATAAATTGGTGAATTAGCCGGGGACCAATGAGGTGTGGAATAAATTCTTGAGGATCAAATTACTTTATGGCAGGGTGGCTGGAAAGGCTGAAGGTTAAAAGGGAGGAGCTTCCTCATCAGAAACTCGTCAGGATTAGTGACTTCCTAAGTCTTGCGTTTAGGGGACCCTGAGGATTTTACCCAGGCTTGGATTCTCTCCACCCCAGGTCAGCAGGTGCAGGACCTCACTGTCCCAGTTCAGGGCCCCTGCCAGGCCCCCACTGGGGCCTTCACACTCCAGGCGCCAGGACAATCCCCCCAAAACCCTCACCTCATTTGTCACAGGCCTCGTCTCCTGAAATCCTTGCTCTTTTCCTGGGACTGCAGTCCTGCTCTGTGCGGGTTTGGGGACTAATCCAGGCCTAGGAACGGGGACTCTGGGGAGCACTGACTGAAGAGGGGGCTGTGTTGAGACACAGGGAGGATTCCAGGGCCTGTCGGGGGAGCTTTGGAGCACAGGACACACTTGTGCCACCCCTACCTCCTGGGTCCCAGCATTTCCCATGGCTTTGGTTGGGTGGGTGCTAGGCGTTGGGTCGCAACCATGCAGGAGAGACCTGGAGGGTTGACAAAACCAAGTCTGGGGTTGTCAGGCCTGGGGGCCCCTTCACAGGGACATAGAATTGCCAACTGAGTAGCAGGAGGGAGCCCTCAGGCACAAGGATCATGAATTACAATTGCAAATTACATAAAGTTCTTAAGTTCTCTTTCTTCTTTCTTTTCTGCCTGCTTTAAGTCTGCTGTTACTTTTCTACAGAGATAAAATCACTGTTTGCATCCAACCATTTCTTTTTATTGTTTGTGTAAACCAATGAATTTGTATGACTATCTCATGGCTGGAGTTCTGAAGTAAAAGCCATACTTTTGCTTGAGTGTGTATGTGTGTTTATGTGTGCATACACATGTTTTGTTACATGTTTTTGGCCACAAGTTACCAAATTTAGCTTAAACTTATAGAGTACTCATAAATTAAATAAAAAGCCTAAATGCTTTTCACATTCATGTGATGTAAGTAAAATCTTTAATAAGCTAGCTTTATAATTACCGGTGATGTTAGAAATTGTAGCAGGACGAGTCACATACAAAACCCTCAGACACCGAGTTGTGGAAGGAAAGGGCTTTATTTGGCCTTTATTCAGACGGGAGCATTAGCAGACTTCCATCTCAAAAGCTGAGCTCCAAAACCATCAGCCCCTCCCTACCCATTGCAGGCAAAAAAAAAAAAAAAAAGAACTCGCCATCGCCCTTGCTTGGAGTCACTGCTGGGCCTCCCCATTTCGCACACCAACCCCGCCACCCTCCACCCAATCCCCAACAGGCCACTGCCAGCCCCAACCACATCCCAGGCCACTTAGACCGGCAAGCCAGGGGTGGATGTGGATGGAGCCTGCTCTGAGACATCCAGGGCTGCCTAAACAAACTCCCTGCAAGGCTTTGTGACCTCCTATCAAAGGCCACACGTGACTGCAGAGTGGGGTGCAGCTTCAATTTCCTGTGGAAGGTGTTTCGTGGTTTAGGGAGGAAGACACTGCAGGGCACAAGAGGGAGGCAGGATTCTGAGGGGCAGGCATGGAAATTAAACCACCCTTTCCAAAGTCATCACTGAGAGTATGACGACGATGAAGGAGGTCTGACCTAACCGACTCCATCTGGCTCCTAACCTCCAAGCTGTCCTTGCTCATCCCTGGGCTTCGCCTAAACTAATCTGGGGAGAAGCGTTTATCGATGAAGGCTGAACAAGCCCCCTTCTTGCCTGGGGACTAGTTTGCCTTTGCAGGACTAACACATTAGCCGCAGGATTAGAAATGATGGTTTAGGAGTCACGCAGCTGGAGGATGGAAGATTCTGACCCTGCCAGCTCCCCAGTTGCTCCCGAGGATCACAGCACGACTGTAGAACCTAGGATCAGAGTTTGAGATATTTTACAGACCCTGCACTCAATGGATCAGCTGCCACCACCCAGACCCACAATCTGGCTCCTCTGGTCCTGTGGCCCCTACCCAGGAACTGGGTTAGGGTTGGGAAGGCAGCTTCGACCCCCCAAGGCTTCATCTCCAACCGGCCCGGTCAGCACTCCTGACTCACTGGCCGCCTCCC